AGTAGAGGAAGAGGGGTTCGCCAGTGATTGCCTGAGATAGGAGGGGGGGTTGGCCATGCACTGCTTCAACTGCTGAAAGGCCTCTTCAGACTCGGTCATCCATTCAAAAGTTTGTCGAAGAACTTTGAAGAAGGGGAGGCACTTATCCGTTTCGTAGGAAATGAAGCGGTTAAGGGCGGCAACTCGGCTAGTGAGTCTTTAAACTTCCTTAACCGTTCTGGGTGACTGTACTTCAATCAAGGCTTTGATCTTTTCAGGGTTAGCCTCAATGCCCCGCTAACTGACCATGAAACCCAAGAACTTCCCAGATCCTACGCCAAAGGCGCACTTCTCTGGGTTGAGCTTCATTTGGTACTTTCGTAGGGTGGCGAAAGTCTCTCGCAGGTCGGTCAGATGGTCAGCGGAGAGTTTGCTCTTGACTAGCATATCATCGACATATACTTCCATGTTTCGACCGATCTGATGATGGAAAACGTCGTTGACCAACCGTTGGTAGGTGGCCCCAGCATTTTTCAATCCAAATGGCATCACTTGGTAATGGTAGGTGCCTCGGTCGGTAATGAAGGAGGTGTGTTCCCGATCAGATGGATGCATAAGAATTTGGTTATACCCAAAGAAGGCATCCATGAAGCTGAGCATTTGGTGACCGGCCGTGGCGTCGACCAGCAGATCTATGCGGGGAAGAAGATAACTGTCTTTGGGGCAAGCTCAGTTGAGGTTTGAGTAGTCGACACAAAGTCACCATTTACCATTGTTCTTGTGCACCAGGATCACGTTTGACAACCATCTAGGGTAGTCCATGTTCTTGATGAATTAGGCCTCAAGGAGCTTGTCAACCTCTGCGGCAATAAGAGTATTACGCTCAGGATGAAAGATGCGCTGCTTCTGGCAGTAAGGCCAGAAATGGGATTCAATACTGAGGCGATGGGTTATGAAGGAAGGGTCAATACCTGGCATGTCTGAATGGGTCCAGGCAAAGACATCATTGTGCTCGGTCAGGAGGGTAGTAAGGTCGACCTTTGCTTGGGGGGATAGTTGGCTGCCGATTTTGGCAGTTTTCGTTGGGTTGGTGGGGTCGATGGGAACCTCCACGAGTTCCTCCACAGGTTCTCCTCTAATTAACTCGTCCTCATCTCGAACGTCAAGTCCTTCAATGATCATAGCTTCCTTCAGCTTGACTTCTTTTAGTGAGGCAACATGGCATTCCCTGGTCACGGTCTGCTCTCCCCTTACAGTCCCGACCCCCAGATCAGTGGAAAACTTAACGGCAAGGTGATAAGTTGATGTGATAGCTTGGAAGGCATTTAGGACAGTGCGGCCAAGGATGATGTTGTAGGCGGATGGGCAGTCCACAACAAGGAAGGTGAGCAACTATGTAGTCTGTCGTGAGTACTCGCCGATTGTGATGAGAAGATCAATGGAGTCGATGGAGGTGACTCAATCGCCAGTGAAACCGACCAAAGGGGTTTGGAGAGGAGACAGACTTTCCTCTCCAATTTTGAGCTGGCGAAAGCAGTTGAGAAAGATGATGTCTGAAGAACTGCCGTTGTCGATGAGAACTCGTCTGACCTTATAGTTGGAGAGGAGGGCAGAAATGACGAGAGGGTCATCATGAGGGTAGCGGATGCCTTTACAGTCGGCGTCCGTATAGGTGATAGGCTCGGTCCACTGCTTGGGCTGTTTGGAGGGTCGATCGACCGTGGTAACTGCTTTGTCTGAGCCCTGCCTTATCTTCCTGAGTTCTGCCCTTTGAACCGAGCGGGATGGTCCCCCGCAAGCAAGGCTGCCTGAAAATGACTCTGATTTCTCTAACAAGTAGAGGGGGGTTGCTTGGAGGCCGAGGTTACTGTGGAGGGCGATCATGGCCTTGGTTAAGTTGAGCTGCTTGCCGGGGGGGTGCGCCGGTGGTTGTTTCTGAGGGGCTCAATTCTTTGCCTCTGCTGAGGGCAGGTGTTCGTGAACCGGCTAAGACGTCCCTGGCGTATGAAGGTCTCAACCTGATCTTTGAAGTTAACGCACTCATCGGTGTTATGGCTATGGTCCTGGTGGAAGCGGCAATATTTGGACTGGTCTTTCCGATTGGAAAGGGTTTGTGACGGTTAGGGCCATTTAAGAGGGTAGTCCTGCTGGATCTAATTGAGGACTTGTTCTATGGGGGAGTTAAGGAATGTGTACCGCTCGAACCGACCGGACGGTCAAGCTGGTGCCGACCGGTCAGCTCGGGGGGGCCGGTCGGTATAGTGTGGTGTTTGGCTATTATACTGGGTGTTTCTGGGTTCTGAGTTTTTCTCTTTTCTGTAGGGGTCGGGTTTTTGGTTATGGGATCTTGCCGGGCGGCTAGGGAATCCTTAGCATTCATATATTTTTGGGCTTTGGAGAGTAGGGCTGCCATGGAGGTCGGGGGGTTTTTAGAGAGGGAGAACAGGAAGTCGGACGACTGCAGACCGGCCATGAAAGCAGTGAGGATGACCTTGTCATCATTTTCTACTAATTACAAGGCCTCGGTGTTGAAGCGGGTAACAAAACTGCATAGCGACTCCCCCTCGGTCTGTCGAATGTTGAGGAGTTGGGTTGCGGGGCGTCGTTGGCTCTGGGCTCCAATAAAATGGCTGAGGAAGGAGTCACTGAGATGCTGGAAAGTGGAGACGGAGTCTGCTAGTAACTGGCTAAACCAAAGTTGAGCTGACCCCTTCAGTGTCACGGGGAAAGCTCGATACATGATCTCGTCAGGGAATGCATGGAGGATCATGAGGGTTCTGTAGGTCTCCAGATGGTCGACTGGGTCCGTCATACCGTCAAAAGAGTCGATGGTGGGCATCTTGAACTTGGGGGGTAGAGGTTTGTCGCGGATGGAGGCGACAAATGGTGAGTTTGCTGTGGTAGAGGGTTTATGCTGGATGTTCTGCGTGACCCCTTAGAGTTGGAGCTTCATGGCGAGGAGTTTCGCGTCCCAGAGAGGGATGTGGTCACCTCCGGACGGCAACGGGGGCTGGACGCTGCTAGCCTCTCCTTTAAGGATTGGTGGTGGGATCGTTGGTTGTGGGCCCCGGGGTGGTAGGTTTATACCTGGAGGAGGGGGTTGCAGACCTTATCTGTTGGGCGGATTAGGCTGCGGAATAGTATGGCTCGGGGTATGTTCGTAGTTGAGAGGAATATCGGGAGGTGGTGGAGGGGGCATAGGAAGGTTTCTTTGGAGTAGGGCATTGATCAGGGCATTGTAGTGGGCTGTTTGGATTGGGGGGGTCGGCTTGGTGGTCGGCAGCATTTTGGTGAAAAGCCATGGATCTAGTCGTGACCATACACTTCGATGGGTAGCGAGAAAGGGTTATTGGAACGGGGTCTCCGGCGACAGTGAACACAACTGGCGCGAGGAGCAAAGCTTTCCCACAGACGGCGCCAACTGATGATACAGTTACTACACAACGAACTGATGATACAGTTACTTCAAAACGGGTCCCAGGTGGAATGGGTCGGACTAATCCACGTTTCTTCAATCGGTAACTCAGTGTTCAAACCCACCAGAGAACCTACACACAAGCTCAACAGGGGAACGGAGAGTCCCCCAGCGAACCCTCCAACGAGCAAGTTAGAGAGAGAGAGAAGTGTAATGTAGAGATATGAATTGGAGATAGAAAAACTTAACCTTCTTCTTGTCTTCAACGTTTGTTTATATCCTTTGGTCATCATTTCGCTATCCCTTCAGACCTGCCATATTCGCCGAAAGTCTATGCAGTAGCTTACCTTGTTCAGGGTAAGGGGGTGCTGTTCCGACGGAGAGGTGTTGTCGTAATAAATGCTGTAATGGGCTGCATTAATGGTGATGTGTAGTGGCAATAATTTTGCAGATCTTTGTCTACTGATGTGGCTTGTCCTTTACCAGCCATATGTCTGAATGTCATTGGCTCTTTATGCCACGTTGGATTCCAGCTATTCTGGACTTCACCAGCTGGATTATGTATTGGGCTTCAAGTGATGGGTTTGGATTGTTCATAGTGGACTATGGCCTTTATGGGCTTACCCACGTCAATCCTAACAACTCCTAAATTCTCCTCAATTAACATATTTAAGCTGGAGTTGTGTTTGATTTATAAATTTAAAATATAATTTAGAAAATATTGATAAATATAAATAAAATATAATCATATTTTACTTAAGTTTTAAATACTTTTTCTTTTTCATTTTCAAATATCTCTCCAAATTTATAAACTAAACAAATGAAAACATTCTTCTTACACTCATAAAATAAAAAAGTAAAAAAAATTACACATCTATTTATTTCAATCACACCTTAATATTTAATTTCAAAATTTTATATATTTTTTTTATCCACTGGCTCCTTCTTCACCACTATGGTCTTTCAGCACTCAATTGTCACCACCACTCCTAACCCATCATTTTCAATCTTAGGTCTCTACAATTAATTTTGAAAGTGAGTGATTTGTGGTGGGAGACTTATGAAATTATATGATTTATAATGAAAGATGATTGTAGGAAAAAGGAAAAAGAAATAACAAGAGGGGATGGTGGAAAAGAGAAACAATGCTAACGGTGAAAGACAGTTGTGATATTTTAGAATTATGACTGAATGGAAAAAAATAAGAGTATTACGGTATTTTTATTCTATGATAAAATTATATTAAGAAAAAATTTCATTAAATGTGTAAACTTAAAGAAATTTGATATATGAAAATAGAATTACTTGTGAACAATGGATAGAAAGACAGAAGTGTGCATAGGTTTCATTGGGAATAACAGGATTGCCCTTCTCTTGTAATTTGACGAATTGTACAGCACCTAACCGTGGAGGCTATTCAGGATGCAAGACACCGCATATTCGTTGAATTGTTCTCCATCGCTATATTCTGATTTGCCGCCTTCGGGTGTTTCAATGACCAAACTACCCTTCTCCGCAACAAGACCCAACAATGAAATGGTCGTAATTATGGTAATTGAGTCTGGCTAAATCGTCAATATATATATATATATATATATATATGTGTGTGTGTGTATATATTATACAATACATACACGCACCATCCTCATGGTCATTCAGTAGACTCATCTGTATGAATGAAGTGCTCTAGTAGCTGAAGCAAATGGGTTCTCAACAACTGCTGCAGAGCCTTCCGAGCATAGGAATTCAAAATGAGGTAACCCTAACTTACACCCTTTTATCTTCTGTTTGATTGATGAGAAAGCCTTGGAAGAGGGGGCGGGGGAATGAGTTCTGAGTCTTTGTTATTTTATTTTAAATTAATCGATCGTTACAGTGTCAGTTTAGGCATGATTGGTCTCATTCATGCTGTTTGAACAGAGAACATAATTCGATCAATTTCAAAGTCAAACCCATGATTATTTGTTAGACAACATAACTTAAATATATATATATGTTCACTATACAAAATCTACCTCATCAATTGCACACACACACACAAAAACTCGACGTGTGGAAGCAAAATTGGAGGGAAAAAACTAAAGAGAAAGTGGGGAAAGTAAGGATTTAGAAACCATAGTGAAAATGTGCCAATGGCAACATATTAAATGCTTCATATTGATTCTAAAAGCTTCACGTGGAAGACAATTTAGCTTCATCTCTTCACAAGTTTTGCAAAGAATTTTGTTTTCGATGTTATGAAAAACCAAAACTTGTGAAAAACATTTCATTTGCTGACTCCGTAAGAACACAGAACGTTTTCTTGGGGGGAACCAATGTCTTGTCTTACCTTTGTGAGGTTGAATTGATGAATTGAAGTCATTGGGCTTCGTTTTGATATCTTCAGGTCAACATGCTCCTATTCTAATCTCTATTCCCATTCCCAGCCTCTGCAACTATTAGTCAGTAATTATCTATCTCTCCTCTTCTCCTAGGCTTGTCACATTTTAAGTTCATCATGTTAAGCATGTATGTCAAAGTACTAACTATTATTTAAGAATGCCTCCAAGTTTTAGATCCTCTAGATCTATGTATTCATGATGTTTGTGATACAGTATTGCAAGGATCGGTGAGTGTTTGTGACAGTAATCACACATCACTCACTCCCACAATTGCTGAAATTGACTGTGAACCGAAATAGAAATCAATTATTGCCTCTCTTACACTCTTTGTCATATAGATGTGCAACACATTTTTGTACTTGAAAGTGAAATTAGTATCAAACACCTTGGGCCAGTTACGGAACTTCTACCATGTACTTCGATCACATCTAATGAGCAGCCAAATTTGTCCATAAGACCTTCCACCGCCGCTCTTCATTTTGGCTCTGTTGATGGAATTCAAAAACTAGCAAGCCAATGTATTACATTTAGAGTACATTGCCCTTTGTTATATAACTATGGCCTACCCTTTACTAGAACACCTCCAATTCAATTTGGGTTTTTTTTGTTTTCTTTCCGTTCTTTATCTTTTCTATTACTGGTGCTTCTTCACTTTCTTTGCTTAATTTTTTTGCCAGACTTTTATGTCACTTGGATTTTACCGCAAGTCTGCAACTACTACTGCCTCTGCTGTTGATGTTTGTTGTTGAGCCCCTTTAGGCCTCAACGTTCATTTGTTTTCTTCTTTGTCATCAAACCTCATTATATCTTATTCCATTTCCATTTTCCATCTATTTCTAGAGCCAAAATTAGAAAATAACGACTCTACACCTCAATCAACCATATTGGAGGACAAGGATACTAGTGTTACATTACAGGACTATTCCATTATGCTCAGTAAGGGTCTGAGATATGGGTTCAACTCCCGTACCCAAATTAAACACATTGATCCTCTAATTTTAAACAATTTTAGATGATGAAGAAGCTCAAATTTGAAAGTAAAAAAATAAAAAATAAAAAATTTAGCCTCTCACATGAATGGGGGATTGAAATTTTAAATACTGAGATCACCTTATGGTAGAATACTATACAATATATTTAAATGTTCTAGACACACTCGTATTTAATTTTTGGATAGATATCCTTGTATGGTAATATTAAGGGTTGAGGAAGGTCCAACGCCTAGACTCACATCCGCACCCGATGCTCATACCTGAGCGTGTGTGTAACGTAGAAGGATACCATGCGTGCCTATGAGGGCTAGAGACCTTCCATGTTTTTCTGCATATGTTTTGCCCCTGCGATTTCGTTTCCAATTTTATATTTATCTAATTATCTGATTTTGTTACTCAAAGTCCATATCAATTTGGCCAATCTCTTTGTTCCTTTGATCATGAGACCAAAGGGATGGATGTGAGGCTGAAGGGCTATATACATCCAAGTTCAAACTCACCTTTATGTACACTGGTCTTTATAAGTAAATGGCAACGGCACCCAATATGGGTCAATGAGTCACTGTCAGATGGGTAACGACACTATACTCACCTCTAAAAGAGAGGGGGAAAAAAAAAAACCTGTACTCTAAAGACATGGAAATAGAGAGGAACAAACACATGAGAATTGTAAATCACTCACCCACACACAAAGAACACTAGATTTATTTGATTTACCCCAAAAATAGGGCCTACGTCCATGGCCATTATCATTCCACTATGATTAGAAAGGTTACACAAAAGATATAGAGATAACTGCCCCCTTAATTACATATGCATAGAAATTAGAACAATAGGTCACAAGTGTGAAAATATAAAAAATACTCTTACTCCAACTGGAACTTTTTGGGCTTGAAATAATAGTTGATTCTATATGCATTACTCTAGATCCACCATCGATTTTGTTGTTGTAAATGATTTGGTAGACACTTACAATGAGTGCTTCTGATACTTAAAATCCGAATGTAGGATAATCCAAATGAATTGGGAAAGTTTTCAACTTAAAAAAGAATCTTTTAAGGACAGAATTGTGAGATTCAGATCTAGTGTTAATGTTCCAATGCATTATTGTTATTATCATTAAGTTGTTTGTCTTCACTTTCCTTTTTGTTGGGTTTGTTTAGAAGAACTTGTATGGGTCCATAAGAAAAAAAGATGCACTTTTGGTTGTCTGGTAGGCACATCCTGGTGATGGAATAGGTGGTGGGGTGCACATATTTGCATTTGATGATGGTGTTGTTGCTACAGCTTAAATATGCTAGTTATGACTTTTATTTGAAATTCTGTTGTACCTTTTGCTTACTGATTATACAGTAAAAATAACTTGCATTGAAAAAAACTTAATATCCTCTAAAACCGGTGTAGGGTGTAAATTCTGCTTATAAATTATCAGCTTTCAAGTTTGAATAAGCTGCACCAAACATGCCTAGTGACTTGTGCATTCATTGTTCGGCACGGCAAGAGGTGAAAGTTCCTTCAGTGCATCACTTTGAGTTTGGATGGCCAGAGGGCATTGAGGTTTGATAACTTTGTCTTTGATTGAGAACCTAGTTTAATTGATTCTTTCTTTTCTCTCCATCAATTTATTAGAAACCATACTTTTCATATGCATAATACAGTGCAGATCATTTAGAAATGACTTGTTTTAATTCTGGAAAAAAAAAATGATTGATTAGCTTTCTTAGCTTTCTATGACCCTTTAAAAATTATTCAATACGCGACATTGTGACACTTGTACGTAATACTTTTGAACAACAAAACCAAACTTGTTTTTCACCCAACCAAACAAGGCCAGTCATGTCGTGTCGCCTCCATCCATCTACTGAATAATTCAATATTTGTATGAAATCATTTGCATAAAATTTCTTGTAATGTGAGTTCGATATACTTCCCATGGACTTGAAAATATATTGTAGGACAGATGTAGCCTCGTTAGAAACAAAGATACAACTGAATGATCTTGACTCTTCTAGAATTACCCAATTATTTTTGATTCAGTGTTAAACAATGATTTGTTAACATACCAACATTAAAAAATAAAATTGTCATGGTTTGTCTAGAAGATAATTAGCATTAATATGGCATTAATTCGGGTCCCTCCGTCAACCACTTGGTCAAGATATCCAGTCCCTTCCCATTTCAATAGTTTTAAATAGATTAAATATGGGGGTAAAATAAATAAAAAAAAGAACAAGAAAAGAAATGGATTTCTTAACCCATGTTTTGAACTTTTGTTAATTTGTTGTGTTTGGTAACACATAATCTATTGGAACGTTTTAATTCGAAATTAAATTAATATTGTATCCAATTCAATGTTCAAGCCATGTGATTTTTGTACTAAATTGAATTAATCTTGTATCCAATTCAATTTTCAAGCCATACCATAGGCTTAGTACTTGCTAGGATTAGGTAAGTGAGTTTGGTCTTGACTTGTGCAAGAGCAAGTGATATTCTTCTCCAGAGTCGTGATCTATTAGCTGAGAGTTTGTCTACCTACTAACTCTTCCAAACAATGCACCCTACTAATCACTAAGGCCATGTTTGTTTGGGTGGACATGAGTTTGGGATTGGACTAATAGTCTAATAAAATTATTAATCCGATATTTGGTTAAACAATTGAAGTACGGACTAATTATTTTAAACTTGACTATTAGTTAAGATAGGATACATAATCCAACGGATTCGTAGTCCTAGGAGTATTAGTCATGGGAATACTAATCCAATCCGTCCAAACAAACATGTCCTAAATGTCAGGACTTTTGTTGTTTCTCTATAACTTAACACAAAATCATAGATTCTACTCCTCTACCAATTAATATATTCTAGGTACACCATTTGGCCATGTTTCAGAATCACCAAATAATTTCTTTTTTTAAACACTAGTTGCTTTTTTAGTAGTGTTTTTTTTTTAATCTTAAATTTTTTGTGAATTTTTTCAAAAAATATATTATAAAACTTTATTTTAAGTCCTACTAAATTAAACAGATAATAAATAACTTTTTTAAAAAAATAGTTACTAAAGTCACACAGACAGTCTATAGACATGGTGTCGCACAGGTCTCCAAATTTCTTAAGCCAAGGCTTTTCAGGTAAGCACTTTTATATAGAGATAGAAGCCCTACCATACCAAATGTATGTTCAAACCAAATTAAAAAAAACATACCAATAGTATGACCAACCTAAATAGCGTAATACGGTCCTATAACACATACGCACATGCGTGGCTAGATGTTTGGTAATAGTTTTTTATGAAAAATTATTTATTGTTCTTAGAGTAATGTTTCATTTCATTGAATGATTAACACCTTGCGTATTGTCTCTTAAAATTTTAACATAAAAACAGTGAGTATCATTATTTGGACGAACTGTTATTGATTTAAAGTGCCACTACAACTTACTTCATGAAAAATAATTTCTCACTTGTTGTTTTCTTTTGGGTATTATTTTGGATTCATACTTCATTTTATATTTATATTTTGAAACCCAATATATAAAAGCAATTAATTAAAATTGAAAATATTGAAGAATGCAATTGATAGTTAAAAGAATATATATTACTATTGATAAAAAGTTATTTGAAAAAGAAAAACAGCAATATTACGTATTTTGAATTTGAACTTGCCTCGAATGGTTCGAATTTTATTTTGCCGATCATCCGGCCGATCGTTTAGCAAAAAAGCTGACAGTCGCAGTCGACAAGGTGACAACTGTGGTAGATAAGTGTTTTACCCGACCGTTCGGGTGGTCGTCCGGCTAGTCAACCGGTGAACACAAATCATGCCATTCGAGACAGTTCAATTTGAGGCACCAAGATTTTTGAAAGAAAAATTACCTTTGCTGCCGTGATACGGCTTAAATTCAGGCAAGACATCTAATAATGGTAAGAAAATGTTCATCTATCAGGAAAAGTCTCTAATCTTCGAGTTGCGCTTTTTAACTATTCATTTTAGCAAATGGGAGATGCAAACCCAAGTATATATTTGAAGTACAATAAGTCCATAGTTCTGACTTATTCATTCAAATTTTTTTAGGTGGTCAATTATGTGGTGGAAATTAAATTTATGTAATGTGAAATAAATCTGAATCAAAAAAAGATAATTTTAAATAATTTCTGAGTAGTTAAGTTTAAGTTTGTAATATTACTATTTGAAGTAATTATCCTGAATTTTCATAATAACATGTATTTTTGTGTATCATTCAAGGCATTATATATTTATATATGAACTAAAATTCTACAAAAATGATGGGTAAATTGTTTAATAATAAATTACAAAACACCATTAATCAGGCTACACGTTGTACCTACTTATGAAATAATTTTAACAATATTCAGGATAATTCTGCCCCCTTCTTCTCCCATCTCAATTGATTTATACTCATGGTCACCTGCAATGCACGAGATTTTAAAAAGTTAATAATTATTAAAAAAAAAAATTGCTATTTAATTGTATTTCTTAATATTTTATTTAGTTTATGTATATAAATCTTACTTCACATCATTAAAAAAATGTTAATATTTCACATTATTGAATTTTTTAAAAAACTATCATACATTAAATAAATTATCACATATATAATAGTTAATTTATCTAAGAATTACTTTAGACAATCAAAAGTAGAGTAACAAAGACATATTATAATTAATCAAAATGACTAATATATTAAATAAAAGTAAAACTAATTTTGTTTAATCAATAGTAGATATTACATTAATCATCTCATATAATATAATAAATTAAAATAAAATTAATTTTAATTCCCATTATATGGTTAAATTTTTTTTACATGCTATTTGTTTTTTATTTATATTGATTCATTAAACACAAATAGGTTTGGAATGATTAAAAAAAAAAAGTTTGGAAATGCATTAAACTTGAATTGACAAACATAAAAAATATAAAATTTTAAATTATTCAAAAAAATAAGCATTTTTAATATGAGATATATTCCATTTGCTCAAAAATCTTAAATTAAAAAAAAAAAATTGAGAAATTTGTGGTTTACTTCTTAAAGGAAATGAGTTCCTAAAAATAAATTTAATCATGAGTTATTTCAACAGGATAATTAACAATAAAAAATTAATTGATGAATACATTTAAAGTATAAGCTCATATTCAATAAATTTTGATGTGTTCTTCATTTTCAATCTAATATCTGCACCAAAAAAAATTAAACACAAATAATTAATAAGTGAGAGAGTTACAAATTGATAATAGTAGCACTTTTATAAAAAATTTTAAAAAAAACTCAATTAAATGATACATTATTAACAAAAAGAAAGAAATAAGAAAAAATACAAATTGTAGCCAAAAAAAATTTAAAAATAAAATAATAATATCTTTTTATATAAACTCACTTTTTCACAAATGCAAAAACTCATGCAAGTACACATTTCAAATGTAAAGCAAATATTTAAGATTTTTAGACACTGAAAAAGGATTAGAAATAGCTCAATGTTGATTGTTTTTCCCTGATCTTTTGTTCATGGTTTCTTTTGCATGAACTTGTTTTTATATTGAAAAGATTATGCTTAAACAAAAGATATATATAGAATTTTATCATGTTTAAAATTTTTATGAATAATTAATTGATGATTTTAAAAAATAAAATATTAAATTCAAGTTGAAGATAAACTTTAAAAAGATTAAACTAAAATATATAGAATTCTATAACAAACTAACAAAAGATAAATATAGATCTTTAAAAAAATTATTATCTTTTTGGGATATTTATTTTCAAATCTCAACCTTTTCTCTTTTTTTTTATTTATTTAAATATTTTGTTATATTTTATTTAAATTTTCATTTTGTAGTTCAAATCTAAATAATTATATTTTTGTTTTTGTATATTCTTTCATCACTATTTTTTTTTGTTGCTCATATATAAATAATTACCTTTTTATTTTAAAAATTATTTGACTCGTAATATTTTTTTTATTTAAATGTTATGCTTAAACAAAAGATATATATGGAATTTTATCATATTTAAAATTTGTATGTATAATTAATTAATGATTTTAAAAAATAAAATATTAAATTCAACTTGAAGATAAATTTTAAAAAGATTAAACTGAAATATATGGAAATTCTATAACAAACTAATAAAAGATAAATATAGATTGTTAAAAAAATTATTATCTTTTTGGGATATTTATATGCCAATCTTAATCTTTTTTTTATTTAAATATTTTATTATCTTTTATTTAAATTTTCATTTTGCGGTTCAAATCTAAATAGTTATATTTTTATTTTTGTATATTTTTTCATCTCTATTTTTTTGTTATTCATATATAAATAATTACCTTTTTATTTTAATAATTATTTGACTCGTAATATTTTTTTATTTAAATATTTTTTAATTGTTCATATATAAATAGTTAACTTTTTATTTTTAAAATTAATTGACTCACAATATTTTTTACTTAGTTATTTTTTAATCTTTTATTTGACTCTTTATATTATTTTTTGTGGTTGAAATTTGAATAGTTATCTTTTTTATTTTTTTGTTTTTTATATTTTTATCTTTATCTCTTTGTTGTTCATATCTAAATATTTATCATTTTATTTAAATATATATAATCCTTTTGACTTTTGAGATTTAGATAATTGACAAATGATTAAAAATTAGAAAAAGTGGGAGGGGAGACTTGAGAAGTGACACGTAGGAGAGAGAATCTATAAGAATTTAGTATTAAGAGTTTGGAGAATTCTCATACTCCACTACATTTGTTTATATATATAGTATAGATATATTTTAAGTACTTTAAAAATCAAATCAAATCACAAATATTTTTATACTATTTAACTACAATCATATTTTTTTCATAAATAATTGTAAAGAAAAACTATTAAAATAGTAAATAAAAGATTAAATCACATTAAAAAAAAG